TAAGCACCTAGCTCTAGGGAGTTTAAATTACCAATTTCCATATATGGAGAGTGTTCTGATCCTACATTTTCCAACCCATTAATCAATCATTACCCTTGTGATCCTGGGAACTAGAAAAAATTAAATATCACTGGTATGGGTTAGGAATGGGACCTTTTCAGTATATGCTGAGATCTCTTTAACACTGGTACTCTATCCAAAGTGTTGTCACCCTCACTAATTGTTGAGACTCCACACTAAGAAGATGGAGAGCTGTTATCTTTTACAGGCTGATCTGAAACTGAGGGCTTTTGTCCTAATAGTTGGTGGTTTCTGTAGTGGAAATAAACATGGTTAATTTAGCATATCTAAGTCCATTTTTTTTGTATCTATACTGTGATTGAATAAGTTTTATAATTGCTTTTCATTTTTAAGATAATCACTCATTTGGTAAGGTTTGCTAAGTGATGTGTGTACTTCTAAATAATTGATTAACATTTGTCAACCTTGATAAAAACAGAAAATAGGAAAATAATATTTAATATAATATTAATAATCATCATGATGATGAAGTCATCAATGGCTTATTTCAAAGATCTACAAACTATTGTCCCATATAAAAATTTTGGGATACACCAAAAACAGCGATTAGAGGAAAGTTTATATCTCAATTTATCAATAAAAATATCAATAAAATAGAGAAAGGGTAGACCAATAAATTAGCTATGCAACTAAAAATAACTAGAAACAGAACAAATAGATGACTCCAATTAAATACTGTATTGGAAATCCTAAAAATGAGGTGAGGTGAATTAAACTGAGTGTAAAAAAGCCATTGAATTAATGAGAAAAGCTAAGAAATGGCTTTATAAATAACAAATAAAAGAAATACCTTAATTTGATTTAAAAAAAGAGAGTAGGCAACCAAATCAATAGTATCAAAAGTGAAAAGGGTAAATAAACCACTAAAAAAGGTGAAATTAAAGGTATTGTAAGGAATTATTTTGTCCAATTACATGCCAATAAATTTAACAATTAAAGTGAATTGGCGCAATACTTACAAAAATATAAATTGTATAGATTAGAGTAGAGGGAATAGAATATCTAAATAGAGCACTTTTAGAAAAAGAAATTTAACAGGCCACAAATGAGCTTCCTAAGAAAAAAAGCACCAGGACCAGATGGTTTTACAAGTCACTTCCATCAAACATGTAAAGATTACCTAATTCCAATATTAAATAAATTATTTGGAATATAGGCAAAGAAAGGATCTAGCAAATCCTTCTGTGAATCAAATATGATACTGATACCTAAATCAGGAAGAGTAAAAACAGAAAAAAAAATTTAAGCCAATTTCATTAATGAATATAAATGCATAAATCCTAAATAAAATACTAGAGAAAAGATTACAACAATATATTACAAAGACTATACATTATGATCAAGTGGGATTTATAATAAGAATGCAGGGATATTTTAACAATGTTAAATTGTAAATTATTATTATAATGAATTATATCAATAATAAAAATTTATAAAATTGTATTATATCAGTAGATACAGGAAAAAGCTATTGTTAATGTACAGCACACATGTCTACTAAAAACGTTTGAAAGTATTGGTATTAAATGATTTTTCCTTAAATGATAAAAAAAGCATTTATCTGAAACAATCAGCAAGCTTTATTTGTAATGGGATACATTAGGAGCCTTCCCCATAAGATCACACATGAAATAAAGATGCCCACTACCACCAATATTATTCAATATTGTATTGGAAATCCTACTAATAACAATTAGAAAAGAAAAAAAATCATGAGAATAAGAATTGGAGTAACAAAACTATCCTATTTGCAGACAATATGATGATATACCAGGAAAATCTCAAAGACTGAACTAAAAAGTTAATTGAAAATTCATTTCAGTAAAGTAGCAGAATATAAAGTAAATCTGCATAAATCATCAGCATTCCCATATGTCACAAATAAAACTCTGCAAGAATAGAAAGCAAAAAAAATGCTATTTAAAATCATTTTTGATAGTATAAAATACCTGGGAGTATACCTGCCAAAATGAACCCAGGAACTATCTAAACAAAAATTATTTTTAAAAAAATTCATACAAATAAAATCAGATTTAAATAATTGAAGAAACATTGATTGAATGACAATTTTATCTAAAAGAATTTATATATTCAGTACCAATTAAATTGCCAAAAACTATTTTTCCAAAATAGAAAAAATAATAAAATTCATTCAGAACAACCAAAGTCAAGTATATTAAAGGTACTAATGAAAAACAATGTAAAGGAAGGAGGTTTAGCAGCACCAGATCTTAAACTATATTATAAGGAAGTAATGATCAAAATTATCTGTTAGTGGCTAAAAAATAGGAAGGTAGATCAATAGAATACAGTAGATATACAATTAACAGCAGCAAATACATATAATAATCATGCATTTGTCATACGTAATGATGTAAGATTTCAGGGAAAGAACTAATTATTTGGGAAAAAAATTGTTGGGAAAACTGGAAAACAGTATGGCAGAACTTGGCCATAGATAGCTTACACCATTTACAAAGATGAGGTCAAAATAGATACATGACCTAGATATAAAGAGAGATACATGAAAATTTGAAGAAAGTGAAATATATTGCTTATCAGACTTATGGATAGATGATTAATTTATGAATAAAGAAGAAACAGTCTCTTGTTAGATGTAAAGTTAGATGTATAATGAATAATTTTGTTACATATTAAAAAAGGTTTTATACAAATACAACAAATATAGCGAAGATCAGAAGGAAAGCAGAAAATTGGGTGGAAAGTTTTTATAGATAGTTTCTCAGATAAAGCTCTCATATCTCAAATATATTTAAAGAACTTTGTCAAATCTATTATATGAGATATTCCCCAATTGATAAGTAGTCAAAAGATATGTACAGGCAACTTTCCAATGAAGAAATAAAAAACAATTATAGTCATATGAAAAAATGCTGTAAATCATTATTGACTAGAGAGATACAAATTAAAACAAGCTTGAGATATCATTTTACACGTATTATGCTGGCTAAAACACAGTTGAAGTATAAAGTAACAACTGCTGGAGGGGATGTGGAAAAATCGAGATGTTAATTCCCTGTTGGTGGAATTATGAACTGATCCAATCATTTTGGAGAGCAATTTGGAATTACAGCCAAAAAGTTATTAAACTGCCTATACCTTCTGACCCAGAAATACTACTGCTAGGTCTATTTCCAAAAATGATAAGGGACAGAGTCTTAAAAACCTATATTCATTAAAATTTACCATTCGCTACCTGAAAGAGATCCCGGGAGGAAAACTCATAGCAAATATCATAGTCAAATTTTAAATCTCCCAGGTTAAGGAGAAAATATTGGAAGCAATAAGAAAAAAAAACTATTTAAACACTGCAGAAATATAGTCAGGATTTCACAAGACCCAGCAGCTTGTGTATTCTAAAAGATCAGAGGTTTTGGAATATTTATATTTGAAGAACAAAAAAGCTGGCATTGCATCCAAAAACAACATTCAGCAAAGTTGAGTGTAATCTTGAATGGGGGAAAAAAGATATTTGATGAATGGAAAGCTTACTGAAGAAAATACTTCCTTAAAAATTAGAATAGAGCAAAAGGAAGCTAGTGACTTTATGAGAAATCAAGACACTGTCAAACAAATCCAAAAGAATGAAAAATTAGAAAACAATGTGAAATATCTCACTGGAAAAACAACTGACCTGGAAAATAGGTCCAGGAAAGATAATTTAAAAATTATTGGACTATCTGAAAGCGATTTTCAAAAAAAGAGGCTAGATATCATCTTTCAAGAAATTATCAAGGAAAACTGCCCTGATATTTTAGAACCAGAGGGCAAAAGAGAAATTGAAAGAATCTACTGATCTCCTCCTGAAAGAGATCCCCAAAGGAAAACTCCTAGGAATATTGCAGCCAAATTCCAGAGTTCCCAGGTCAAGGAGAAAATATTAAAAGCAGCCAGAAGGAAACAATTCAAGTACTGTGGAAACACAATCAGGATAACATGAGATTTAGCAGCTTCTACATTAAGGGACTGGAGGGCATGGAATATAATATTCAAGAGGGCAAAGGAGATAGGATTACAACCAAGAATCACCTAACCAACAAAACTGAGCATTATCCTTCAGGGAAGAAAGGTTCATTCAGTGAAATAGAGGTAGGGAGAAAGGGAAAAGGAGAGAATACTCTCAGAAACAAGAACTGTCACCATATTCTGCTCCCTAGTTTAATTATATATGAAGTGTTATTATCAATTCTGGAAACCACATTTTTAAAAACATTTTTATTTAAAGTTTTGAGTTCTAGGTTCTATCCCTCTCCCCTCCCTTCACCCTTCTCTGAGATGGTAAGCAATCAGATACAGGTTGTACATGTGCAATTATGAAAAACATTTCCATATTAGTAAGAGGATTCAAATAAAATTAAAAAAAGAAAGTGAAAAAGAAAAAAAATTCACAGCTCTTCATCATACAATATTGCTGTTATTGTATACAGTGTTCTCCTGTTTCTGCTCACTTCATTTTGCATCAATTAATAATGTTTTTTTTATCAAACATATTTTCAGATCAGTGATGTTTTCAGTAAAAATTAGAACCAATAGGAGGAACCACCAGAAAGAGGAAACAAAGCTCAACAGAAGAGAAAAAAATAACAAATAGTATGCTTTGATATACATTCAAATTCAATAGTTCTTTCTTTGGAGGTGGATAGCATTTTCCATCACAAGGCCTTTGGAGATGGCTTAGATACTTGTATTGCTGGGAAGGGTTAAGTTTATCAATATTAGTCATCACACGATGAGGCTGTTACTGTGTACAACATTCTCTTGGTTCTATGTCCAATTCGTTCTTAGCCATTGGAAGTTATTTCAAATGGCCACCTATGAAAGAGGAAAAAACTAGGATACTCAATCCTTGTCTGGAATCTTAGAATGGTTGTCTCATCTGGCTATCACTTCCTTCCTAGTTGCTACTGGAGGAAACATGAGGTCCTTGGAGGGTTCTGCCGTCCACTGAAGAGCCATCCACTCTTGAGTCCGCACACACAAGTTTGTCAACTGCGGGAGTAGTCAGCAGCATCTGGTAGGGTCCTTGCATCAATCTTTGAATCTGAGTTTCTCATGAGCATAACTTATGCCCTTACTTAAGAGTCTCTGAACAACAGATAGAGATGATCCAATTTCCTAGCGAGGCAGGGCTAGGTTCGAACACTGCAATAACGTTTTCTCACAGTTCCCATAATTGTATAATTTCATTAAGGCAGTTACATATCAAACTACTTAGAGGTCTCACAACAAATTAGCTTGAGAAGGGAGATTTGCATGTCACCAAGGTAACCAAGAAAACTTAAACACAACATCTTAAAACAAAAGACCAATACAATACATTCGTTATCACCAATATTAATTAATATCAAGTATCCTTGCATCCTAATAACACATTCCTGATACATATTTAACCGCACAATTTGAGTCCCAGGTGTCTCATGTATTTATTATGTCCCTATATATCTTTTCTTGGACAATAAGCTTTATTGTCTGAACAGCTCTAAAGGGGCTTTACTTCTCTGATTCCAAATCCAGAAGTTCCTAGATAATTCTGCTAGTTAACAAGGCAAGGCAATTTACTACAATCTCTTAAATTTGGTTCTCCAATCTTGAAGCTTCAGAGATTTCAGCTCATATGCCCATTACTGTTTCTATCCTTATCTAAATCCTGTACCTGATATGAGAATTTTTTTTAAATTTATGAACTACCATTGTGTTTCTTAGCCTGCACCAGGTGCTTTTGATAATTACTGCTTTATAATATAGTTTAAGGTCTGATAATGCTAAACCCCTCCTTTACATTTTTTAGTACCTTTCCTACTCTTGAATTTTTGTCCTTTGTTTTTATTATATTGGCCCTGTCTACCTATGAATAATATACATTTCTCTTATTCTTTAAGTCTTCTATTAGTTCCTGGGTTTGTTTCAACACATGTACTTCCAGGTATTTTATACTGTCTACAATTATTTTAAATGGGATATCTCTTAATATTTTATTTGCAGGGTTTTGTTTGTTAAATTATCTGCAAAAAGTTAGTTTTTTTATTTCATTCCCTATTTTGATTCCTTCCCTTTTGTTTTCTCCATATTGATATCGCAATGATTTCCAATTCAATAATGAATAATATTGGTGATAGTAGGTATCATTGCTTTACACCTGATCTTACTAGGAAGGCTTCTATTCTATCCATATCACACATAATGCTTGCTGATGGTTTTGGACAAACATGCTTTTTATCAATTTAAGTTAAAAACTCATTTATATCTATATTTCCAAATGTCTTTTATACAAATGAGCATTGTACTTTATCAAAAACTTTTTCTGCATCTATTGACATAATCATATGATATTTTTTTTTTAAGCATCAGTATCATATGTATTCATGAAAAGTTTGGTAGGATCCCTTCTTTGCCTATTATTCTAATTATTTATTTTGTGTTGAAATTAGTTGACCTTTAAATGTTTGATAGAATTCACTTGTAAATCCATCTGGTACTGGTGTCTTTTTCTTAGAAAGTTCTTTTATGGCCTGTTCCTCTGACTTTTAAAATTATCAGGCAGATAGTATAAAAATGGGAAAATAATTTCATTTTCTTCACCATTATCAATACAATTTTATATGTAAAAGTCTTAATTCTTAATTAGTATGAATAAATTCTTAAACCAATTTTGAGAACTTATTGCTAAGATTACTGAAAGCCTGAATTTTAATGATAGATAATTTTTGGAAGCCAATCATATACATCTGTATACAATTTTTAGAGAAAATAATCTAATACTGTCACTTTTTCAAAATTTACTGTTCCATTTATTTACATAACATTTTACATCTTTGTCTTATTTTTGTCATATCATTTCTTCTTTAGGAGGATATCATCCCTAAATTATTATTTCTCCATAAGTATAGATTATAATCGTAAGATGTTCATACTTGCATCCTATGATAGTAAGTCAAAGATGTACCAGTATCAATCTATCAGTTAATAGATTTAGTATTGGACTTACAAAACTTCTTGATTATAAAAATTTGCAATAAAAGGAAAAAGAGGGATATAGTTATAACAAAGCATATCATAACAGAGGAGAGGAAACTCCCTTAGCTTTGTTTGATTCCAGGCACAAGTCATATCTGACAGCCAATCACATCACAGTGTATCAAAAACAAGGCTCAGGATTAACCATCTGGGAATTTTCCTTTTCAGCAAGGAAATAGCAAAATGGGGAAATACAGTCAGGAGAGTGCTACGTAGGCCATGCCTAAGTCACCACCAAAATGTTTCCTAGGCACAAACCTCTACTTTTAACAGTTCCCAGACTGCAGCTCATACCATTTTCTAATACTGGCTTCATGACAATTTAGACAACTATGTCTATAATCAAAGCTCAAAAAATAACAAATTAAAGTCCCAGGAATTTTTACCTTAATTGGCAATATTTCACTAACCAAAACTTAAGGCTTGAATATCTTTCCTGATATTTCCCTAGCAGTTAACATTTCATTTACCCTTACTTATAAATACTACCCTTATTCTGGGGCTTCATACAGGAAAAACCTGATCTCATCATTGATATGTTGAAACTCCATCTTGAAACCACCCTATATGCTTTTCAAACATTCAATTTCCAATTGCCAAGAATTTTCAAACAAAAATTTGTTATTAGAGTAAACACTCTTATTATCATTACCATTATCTGTTTTATAACAAAATATACCTCATTAAATATTTAAGTTTTCAAACATATATTTGTGTCACATCCTGTTAAAAGCCCAATTCAAAATCTAAGAGTATCCAGATCAAAAAGTTTTTTTGTCTAACATTTGTGTTACAATGGTCTCTCAAATTTCACAATATAAGAGAATTTAGAAAAACAACAATACCACAAACAATAAGTGTCAGATAACATCAATTACTTTTCCAAATTATAACATATAAAAATCATTGGTCTTATTAATTTTGTCATTTTAAAACCATTTCAGAGTTATCAGGTATGCAACAATTGCATTCAATTAAAGAAATAACAGTAATATAGTGCTCAACATATGCCAGTCATGTGTTAAGCTCTTTACAATCATCATTATTTTGATCTTCACAACAACCCTGGGAGGTGGGTACCATTATTATTTTTCCCTTTACAGATCAGGAAACTGGGGCGAACAGAGATAAGACAACATGCCTAAGATTACACAGCTAATAAGTTTCTCCAACTGGAACAGAGAAGGATGAGCTCACCAGGGCAGATGCTGGTCTGTACCCCTCTTTGTACTGCCCTGCTAGTTACTATCAGGGCCACCAGGACCTTCCCAGGCAGTAGCTGGGCAGGGCCTGCTGAGTGCTAGGCCTGCACTGGAGACACTGAATGGGCGTTGAGGGCTATGGCAGAAGGTACTGGCTGCAGAATCCCAGTGCCATGGTGGCTAATGCAAAGACATTCCCATTGGTTGTAGGTCCTGGTGGCAGGGGAAAGCAGATGCTGGCTGTCGGGCTTGACCCCCTGACACCTGCAGCTTTTGTCACCGGATGCTGCTGTGTGCTACAGTTACCCAAAAATAACATTCAGATATTTTCTAGGTATAAAGTGAAAGACTTATTACGTTCTTGTGAGAAGCAGGTGTCTGCTTCGTCTGGCAGTCCCATCACAGAGAGGCAAGGCACAAAGGTCGGAACAAAGGTTATATAGTCCTAACGCAATGACACCTAACCACCACTGGCTGTAAATCCCATTGGACAGGAATTTCAGCCTTACAATCTAAAATGTGAAAATCTACCCCAGAAACCAGGAATCTCATTATAATACTACCAATCCTAGCTATTTTATCCTTATTTAGCATTAGCCATTACCTAATACTAATGTAACAGCACAGATCATGTGTTTTCTAGGAACTTCAAACTTGGGCCTATTCAGGTTAGCATAACCAAGCTTGAGTTTGTAACAGTCTACAAAACTGTTACACTCAGTCCATCTGAGAGATCTCACACTGTTTACATTGTCTCACTCACTGCTGAGGCTGGGGCTACTTGTTGCAGGCATAGGGTGAGCAGGATGTAATGGACCTGGGTGATGCCCCAGGCTTGACTAAAGGGGTGGGCTTCGGGATGCCCAAAGGCATAGAGCTGCTGGGGCAATACCCAGGGCTCAGGCCCCACTGCAGCTGCTGCCCCCTTCTACCAGGTGGGTCTTAAAGTTTTAAACTGCATGACTGGAGGAAGAGAATGCAATTCAACTTTTCCTACATTTTCCAGGAATTTTTTTCAGCACCTGTATTTGGGAATTTGATCTGAAAAGGGTTAACAGAGAAAGGGAGTGGGTCTCTGACCTGGTGGTGTTACTGGGGATCTCTGGTTCAATGAAGGGTTAACAAAAGGTTGCTATAAAGTGCAAACCAGTTACCTCCTCCTAACTAGCTGCTTTCCTTCATTGTCCTACAACAATGAAGCTATTAATCTTGCCATTTATTTTCAAAAACTTCATAAAATTTAATCCTTATTTTTCCTTAAAATAAATTCTATAGAATGGTAGTCCAAAACTTGCTGAAGTATTTCAGAAGACAGTGAGTTCCTGGAATTATCCCAAAGTCTCAGGAGTTCTCCCCTGCAATTTTAAAATAATGAATCTTCAAACCCTTAATGTTTAATCTCTAAACCTCCAGCATCTACTAAGATGTTTTTAATGGTTCTACAAACTTTGATTATCTGACTTTATTTCTGTAATACCAACTTTGCCAATGTTGAAATGTCAGGAAAAAAATTTCTAACAGGTTTTTTTTCTCTTGTCTTATAACCTAATCTTCTGTGGAAAGCTCAAAGTGGGAGTTAGTTCTGCTTACTGGGATAACTACTTCAACTGTGAAAGTTCATTAACATTTCCCAGTGTTCTAAATTCACTGGTTATAGCCTTCAGCAGTCTTTATGACTTGTTGCATTTTAAATCTCTCAGAGTAGAAGAATCTACATAGACATTTCACATTTTACAAAGACATACAGACAAAATGACAAGACAGCTATAAATAGCAGGCTAGCTCACAACTGAATTCTAATAAGGTGCACAATTAAAATTCCAGTTTTACCAAGGCACACAGTGATGATGGGTACAGAAAAACAAAACAACCAGAAGCCAGTGGTGGTAAATTTACAGAGGTAGGCAGCAGGGTCAATTGGCAGAGGTATCCATTTAAGAACAGTTATCCATACCAAAGTGGTCCAGAATGAACTGGGTCATGGGAGTGGCCCTGGAGTTTTCCTCACAAGAAAAAAGTTGAGCTCAACCAGAGCATGAGCCCAGTATTAGAACTAGGAAAGGACAGTGGATACACGATATGAAGTGGGGGCAAGTTAGGACTCTGGAGAAATAAATTGCTGATGGTCCCTAGTCCACTCACACTGGTACCAGAAAGTCTACCTGTCAAATAACCAGTCTAACTTGTCAGTGGCTGGAGCTGAACAAAGCAAGTTAGAGACAGGACAGTCAAGAATCAAACAGAAGTTTACATTCAAAATGAGGACAACAGATAGTGGGGTGGGGAAAAGGAAGAGGCAGTATGAAGAAATCTCAGTACTTTTACCAATGACTGTGCAGAGAGCTATAGCCCGGACAATGAGGGGTAACAGCAACATGGTGACCAGTTTGATTCATAGTAGAACTTCATGACCAGAACATGGGTACTAAAAGTGCTTGTTTGAGCTCAGAGACGCTGGTGTGAAACAATTCTGAGATTTTGGGGTTGAGACCATCCAGAGGGTGTGTGCAAACAGTTGTTATTATGCCAAACTCAGGGCACAGCTTGTTTGCTGAGCTTTAGCTCTGGAAAATAGGTTTCTCCCAATATCTTGACAGTGGCAAAAGGATTCCTCACTGTTTTAAGATAATCGTTTGCTAGAAACTGAGTGGGATTGAGACCACTTACCCAAATAAAAATTCAGAGCTTTTTCTAGGTAGAAACAGAAGTTTAATTTAGCAGGGCTCGCGCAAGAATTGGGCGTCACCTACCCAGGGCAGACTGGAGTAGGGAAGCAGGGCACAAGCAGTAAGCAAGCAGTTATATACCCCTAGACAAACAACTCTAAGAAACTCCCCCTCCCCACTTGTTTACCTCAATCTCTTTATCCTCACTGGGTGAGCTAAGAGACCTTACGTTCTACCCAGAAACTAAGATACATTTTACCCAAAAACAAGCTTGGAAGCTAGAAGATTGCCTTATTTGGCAGCAGAGATAAGGCTGGGGTGGTGGTTACAAAACAAGGGGTGGGGGGTGGTCAACAGGTGTATGACCTGATCACATGATTTATAGGAAAAGGAAACTTAGGCCCAGCTAATGCTAAAGCCTTAATTAAATTTTGGGGCATAGCTTCCATTTCAGATGAGAAACTTTCAGTTGTCCCACACAAAACTTTTCTGAGTGTGTTGATCAATTAAATCAGCCAGATCATATGATCTGATTCTATCATCTTTGAAATGTAAATCTTTGCATTTCCCTTTTGCACTGTTTCATCTTTTTGTCACCTAAGTAATTTTACACACGTAAGCATTTTGGTAAAGGAAATCTTGGTTATGGCCCTACCGTGGTCAAGTAGGGCAAACTCAGTCAATAAGACCAAAGGAGTTTATTACCACATCAAGCTGGATCTGAATTAAACCTATATAATGGTAAAATAGTCCTGATTGATACATGTTATCAATGAGGAACTGAGATTTTGTCACCTCTTTATTATAGCATAATAGAGAGAGTTAGTGCTGAAGAGATGTGATTAGTGCTAAAGAGATAGAATCAGTGCACTTAATCACCTGCAGGCTGACTTCCCATGTATCCAAAGGTCAAACAAGGTTAAAAGGTGGGGTCACTCAGACTGACTCTGCACCAGGGACTGATTTTTCACAGTCTCTCCTTTGGGGCATTCAAATTCTATTGATAGAGTGCAGCTCTGATGTGCTGGCCATGTTATTCGATTGCCAAAGATACATTTGCCTAAAAGATTCTTTTATGGAGAACACATGCAAGAAAGGCACTCACCTGATGGTCAGAAGAATCAACACAAGGACACACTCAAGGTCTCTCTGAAGAACTTTGGAATGATTGTGTGACATGGGAGAAGATGGCAAAAGACTGCTCAACATGGGGTGGCTGCATCAAAGAAGGTATTGTTCTCTGAGAATGAAGCAGAATTGCAGTAGCTCAAAAACAGAAATAAAAACAAAACCTAAAACCATGAGATGTTCAAATTTAGAGGTAGTTCTATCCTTACATGTTCCTATGGACAGCAATATAATGAATGATGCGCATTCTTGCTCATCTTACTGGAAAGGGCTGTAACTTTCTGATTCCAGCACAGTGTTCCAACCACTATGCCATCCAGCTTCCCCTAAGGAGCATGGGTTCAGAAAAGACTAGCACCTCTGGTGTGAGGGCCTGCTGAGCCCTTTTTGGGGCTGCTTATTCACTCTTTATGTCTACCTCTCACCTAACTTGCCTTTAGCTCCAAGAAGGTGTCATGTATTCAGAGGCCATACCTCAATAAAATGATCTTGGCAGATGGGCTAAACCAGGTTGAGGGTAACCAATGGGTCTCAAACTCATCAGTGAGTTACCAGAATATGTACTGAAAGCAAGTGAAGACCTGCCTCCAGCAGAATGGGTGGATGATAGCCATTTGTTCCAGTGGCCATGAAGATGGTTGATGTAGGTGCTGGGGAGCACTTAGATCTTGATCAAACATCGAAGACACCAAGGTCATCCACTGCGTCCCATGCCATCCCTCTTGATTTTTGTCTTGCCATTGAACTTTAATGACTGGAAGATAGAGTGAGGCTGATGACTTTGTGCAGCTTGACTCACTTAAATCCCATTCACGTGCATATCATGATGTCACCCCATAATGCACTCTTTGAAAACAAAAAACAGACAAACCAATCACAACATCTACTATTTGTTCGTATCCTATGTCATTCTTCCCCATATATTGTTATTTCTCTTTAACAAGAAATCCACTAAACACATGGGAGACTTTCCTTGAGTTCTTTTAGCAGCTCAGAGGTACCAAGGTAGCAAGAATTAGGACTTCCATCTATGGTCTATCAGTCTTGCTACATATCTGGCCCACCTCATCTTATAATTAGACATGTCTTACTGTTTTTAACATAATATGAAGAAAATATGTTGTCATCAAAAAAAGTTACACTCATGACTTGGTTATTTTAGTCCTGTACATTTTACAAATATCTAGCTCTATCTAGCCTTTATTTTGATTTCTTGTGTTTATTCAATTCAATAAATAATCACCTAATACTCTAAGTGCTGAGAATGCAGTATTGGTGGAATCTTTGCCCTCAGAAAGCTTACACTGTGGACAATGAGTCATAAAAAAATGTGTGCAATAAAATTGTTTATTTCCTCTTAGTGGGAGAGCTGATGCATTAAAAATCGTAGAAATAAAACAGAAAATTAAAAAAATAGAATTTCCCTTTCTTTTTATCTCTTGCTGTTGGGCTTTCTTGATAGTAAATAGAAATGCCAATGATTTATGTAGGTTTATTTTATAGCCTGCAACTTTGCTAAAGTTGTTTATTGTTTCAAGTAGTGTTTTACTTGGTTTTCTAGGATTCTGTAAGTATATCATCATATCATCTGCACAGAGTGATAGCTTTCTTTCTTCTTTACCTATTTGAATGCCTTCATTTTTTTCTTCTCTTATTGCTACAGCTAATCTTTCCAGGATGATATTGAACATCCTTGTTTCAACCCCGATCTTATTGGAAAGCTTCTAGGTTGTTGCCATTATACTTGCTGAAAGTTTTAGGTAGGTGCTACTTATTATATTAAGGAAGACTCCATGTATTCCTATGTTCTCTAGTGTTTTTAATAGGAGTGGAAGTTGTATTTTGTGAGAAGCTTTTTCTGCATCTATTCAGATGATCATGTGGTTTCTGTTACTTTTGGTGTGGATATGATCAATTATGCTGATAGTTTTCCTAATATTGAACCAACCTTGCATAAGTGGTATAAATCCTACCTGGTCATAGTGTATTATTCTTGTGATAAGTTGCTGTAATCTATTTGCTAATATTTTGTTTAAAAATTTTGCATCTATATTCATTATGTAAATTGGTCTATCTTTTTCTTTCTCTGTTTTGATTCTTCCTGGTTTGGATATCAGCACCATATTTGTATCATAAAAAATATTTGGTAAGACCCCTTCTTCATCTGTTTTCCCAAATAGCCTATATACTATTGGAAATTAATTGTTCTTTAAATGTTTGGTAGAATTCCTTTGTGTATCCATCTGGCCCTGGAGATTTTTTCCTAGGGAGTTCATGGATGGTTTGTTCAATTTCTTTTTCTGAGATGGGGTTATTTAAATATTTTCCTACCTCTTCTGTTAATTTGGGCAATTAATGTTTTTGTAAATATTTATCCATTTCACTAAGATTGTCAAATTTATTGGCATACATTTGGGCAAAATAGTTCCTAATTACTATTTTAATTTCCTCTTCTATTGTTTTAATTTCCTCTTCAGAGATTTTTGACAAAGAAAGAGGATCTCTCTATATAAGAAATTTTGAGAAGACAGTTTGCTGGAGTTTGGTTGGCAGCACTCCAACCAAGAAACTTTGTAAGATGATGTCCTGAACACCAGACAGCAGTATGAGAGGAGACTTCTGAAGGCTTCTGAATCAAAGGAGAGGTGATTACTCCTTTCCTAGCTTGTGTTCTGGTTCATGAGTGACCACAAGCACTCTTTTCTGCCTTGGAACTGTGAGGGTTCTCTCTATACTGCCACTACAAGCTCACCACACCAGTGCTCCATCTTACCCCAGGACCACCACCCAGAACTGTGACTTACATCCAAGCACAAGCAAAGCAAGAGAATCCTGCCTCAGCACCGGTAAAGAGATTCCTATAATCCCTCTCTGATCAGCCACTAGATTCTCCCTCAGTTTGTGGGCCAGAAGCTCTGGAAACAGTTGTCACCCCAGGGCTGCTCCAGGACTGGGTCTGAGACCTAGCTTATTTCTTGCTGTCATCACAGACATTTCCTACTGATCTTCTAAGCTCTCTTTGGCATTTGTGGGTTGAGAAATATGGAAACCACCACAGCTACTTTTGATTAGGTCCTCTGAGGCCTGCTCCAGTTTCGCTGAGGTCTCTTTTGCCTGTGAGCCCATACTGACCTGCATTCCTCTCCCAGGCTGGCATGATACACCTTCTTTCTTAACCATCCAGGTTGTCTTGGGCTTGAAGTTTGCTTCACTCAGTAATACTAGGAAAAAAAAATTGTGATTTCTAACATAGCATCCTCCTCTTGGCCCATTCCACCAAGTCATATTTTCAGGTTGGATAACCATGAATTAATCCAAGTAGCCTGTAAGTCCGTACTCATGGGTCCAAAACAGTTGACACAATTAGTTCAAAGCAAAGACAAAAGTTATAACATGAGCTTTCTAACTATAAACATGAGGCACACTTTCCCACAAATACACACAGAGTTAGGGGGAAGAGTGGGCCTTGCATAGAATATGCTAGTTGAAAGATACATATGAAGAATATATATGGCCAAGCCAACTCAGGTCTCTGCCACTTTAATACTCTGACTTTTTTTTCTTATTGTGAAACTTCCACATTTCTCTTTGTGGGAGCAGTATCTTTGCTGGGCAGGTCTTACAACTATATTCACTGGCCAGGTTTTTTTTTTCCTTAGCTCAACTCTGGGCAGCAGAGCTGAATCTCCGTCTGTTTACAACAGAACTGACTAGGTTGCTTTTTTTATATCAACCCAAAAAACTTGGCTAATCTAGACTTTGCCCATGTGGCATCAGTTGCCATAAGCCAGGACCCCAAATGTTGTCAGGTTGAATAAAGTTGTTAATGCCAACTAAGGAAGTAAAAATAATATAAACATTTATTTTTAATTTCCTTATGAACAATGAATGGGACACTCTCAAGTTTTGCAACCTTTACTATCTGTGAATAGCGCACATAGGGTGATCATTTTATATCTGAAATGGGAAGAGCCTAAAATCTATGACCCTTATACAAGCATGTCTGAGACAGTTATTGATGGACTCAGCACTTGAAGAGGACCACTATGAATTTTCCTGTTCTATAGTCATTGAACTCCATTCACAACTCATGTGTTATGTTACTCTTAATTTAGTAAATAACAGAATAAGAAAGAATCACTTCAAATGTAATCACAATAACAAGGGAGAGAAAACAAAAAGACATGGCTCAGACTCCTCCTGCTTTGTCATAAAGATTCCGTAGCTATAATAGTCACCAAGAGAGGGAATAGTGGCTTTTTTCCATTGAATTGAATCCTTCAAAATAGTGATGATCTCTGAAAGATCTCTGGATCTAGCTCTCTAAAAGCATAAGGACTCTGAAATTACAAATCCCTCTTCTGGGAAAAAAAAAGGAAAGTGGAAGTGGGAATAAAAATGTGGCTGAGTATACAGTTAAATTTGCAGTAGGTGGCAGTAGAGCTTCTGGGTAATTCTGGGTAATGAGAATGGTACTTGAAATATGAGGATCATCTCATAGAGATCTGAACCATTGTTGCTCCATAAATCAGACTATTGGGTCAGTGTCACAGAGGATAAAAGTTTCTCTCTCATATCAAACAGAATATGACCCTCTGAGGACAAGGAGTTTCTTGGAGGAGACTTACTATTTTCTTAATGTACACTGTGATTTTAGAAGAGTGAAATAAGGATTATGAGCTGTTTCTAGCAAGGTAATGGGGGAGTAAAACTGGGACTGTGGGTAAATAATTTTAGTGAAATGTAATTTTAGGTAAAGGGAAAGAAAAAGAAGACTCAGAAAGCAGTAGAATTGCCATGAATCAGGACAAGAGACCCTGAAAAGAAAGTGATTCATAGAACAGATTCAATCTGTTGATCGTTGGAATTGTGAGAAGGTTAAGGAGCTTTGACAATCAGAAATTAGATTAAGATTGACTAGAAGCTTATTAGGAATACAGAAAGGCCTACTACATGAGATCCAACTGTTTAGAGTTATTGAAGTGATGTAGTGTGATTGATACTGAGTCAAAACCATCAGCTCTGGGAGCCTCAGTGTCACCAACATTCTCCAGTGCTTTGGAAACAGTTCTGGGAGAACTTTCTCTCAAGTTCAAGAAAGAGACTTCTTCCTGGGAGGAAGAAGGTGTTCTTCCTCTTTTTGAATGCAGCAACATGTGGAAATTGGGTCCCTCTCTACTGGGATGAAAAGCATCCCCAAACGTGTACTTGTACTTCCTCTGGGAGACAAGCTCAACCTCTTTGTGTTCTTTCACGTAGAGGACTAACCTGGAAACTCGCCATGATGTTTAGGTTGGACTGGAGTTTCCTTCTGATTATTTCCAAAGGTAGTTTTATGGAGAGGGAGGGACAATGTGAAGTGGTGACTTAACATGACTATTGACTTTAATACAATGTCTCTGTGTTGCAGGTGTCCAATGTGATGTGCAGCTGGTGGAGTCTGGGGGAGATGTGAGACAGCCTGGGGGTTCTCTGTGTCTCTCCTGCAAAGCTTCTGGATTTACCTTCAGTAGCTACTGCAGAGTTGGGACTGCCAGGCTCCAGGGAAGGGACTGGAATGGGTTGCAACCATTACCATTGGTGGAAGTAGTACACACTATGCAGACTCCATGAAAGGCTGATTCACCATCTCCAGAGATGATGGCAACAGCATGTCATATCTACAGATGATTTCCCTTAATACTGAAGATACAGCTGTGTATTACTGTGCAAGAAACACAATGAGGAAAGAACGTAAGACTTCACAGAAACTTCCCTTGTCAGGAGATGAGGGGCCAATGAGGCCAGAAGGGGTTTGATCTCATGATGCACACAATGCAAGATGAGTAGATTCAGTAACAGGTGTAGAGAGAATCTGAACCATTTCTATTTATAGCCTCTGTTGTTTTTTTCCTTTTATCCCTAGAGAAAGCAACTTTTCCACTAGCTAGCTATCATTCTTAATGCCTGACTCTGACTCCCACTACTACCTCATATTTAATTGGTAGTTATATACTGCAAATTCAACTTTCATCACATATCTAGTATACTCTCCTTTCTCTCCTCAAGGTACCACAACCACCCTGGTAGGCCTTTACCAGCTCTGCCTGGACTGTTATGCTATCCGACTGGTTGTTCTCCCAGCATCAGTACTCTCTTCACTCTAGTCCATACTACATTTAGTTATCAAAATTATCTTCCTAAAGCACAGATCTGAACATTTTCCCCAAATTCCTGTGATGCTGTATTACCTCCATGAGAAAATATATACTCCTATTTGGCTTTTATAACCTTCATAGCATGGCCCCTTCCTATCCTTCCTATCTTATTGTACCTTTCTTTCTTCCTCATATTTGGCAGTTCAGTGATGCTGACCTCCTTGCTGTTCTTTTCACAAGAGACTTAATTTCCCTACTTCATGTGTTTTCACTGGCTGGAATTCTTCTCCTGGGGGGCAGCTAGGTGGTATAGTGGGTTTAGCACCAGCCCCAGAGTGAGAAGGATCTGAGTTCAAATCTGGTCTCAGACACTTGACATTTACTAGCTGTGCGACCCTGGGCAAATCACTTCACCCTGACTGCTTCCCTGTCCCCTCACCTCTTCTCACCCACCCACAAAAAAAAAATTCTTCTCCTCCTCATCTCTGCCTCTTCTCCCTTTGGGCTTTTTTCAAACCTAACCTGAAATTCTGCCCTCCTCTACCATCTCCAATCCTAATTCCAGTGTCTTTGTGCTGGATATATCCTGTATGCACATACACACACACACACACACACACACACACACACACACACACACACATATACAAATGTATATGTATATATATATTTTTTTTGAGCATAATTATTTTCATATTGTCTCCCTGAATGAGACTAACCTCCTTAAAAACGGGGACTGTTTTTTGCCCTTTTATCCCACTTCTTGCCACCATTCATGGCTCATAATAAGTGCTTAATAAAAGCTTGTTGCTGATTTGACCTTCTGTTTCTTCATGAATGAGAGTCTCCAAAATAGCTGAGGTGTGTTCTGTCCATTACTTCCATGTTATGTACACAATGAGTAATTTCTCTGACATTTTAACACATTAAGAAAAAATAGCCATAATTATTAAATATTGTTGAGAGTTAAATTTAACAAAATGGTAAAATGAGGCATGTTTATCTAAGAAGATAACATTCTATTATCAAGGCTAATAACCTGAGAATGAGATCATTCAATGGCTGCTTCAGTCTCCAGTCAAAGACCCCAAGGAATAGGACAGGTCCTCTTTTAGAGATTTTTGGCAACTACAGAACAAAGAACATAACGGCATAGGTGACATCACGTGCTTAAGGACAACAAAATTGGTTATATATACGAGTTGTGGGGAGCACCATAATTGGTTGGAAAATGGGGGGCTAGCAACAACCCTTCTCCTCTCTTTCCGATGACTAAAAAGTGGTTATGGATTGAGTCCACTTGTAAGGCCCAAGATAATGGCCCAGACTTATTTGGACGGCAAATCAGAAATCATTTAAGGATTGAAGGCATTATAAATATATTAGGCCCAACTCCCTTATGGCAGACCATATTTTCCAAGGTTAGCAGCATTCTTTGAGGCAGGATTAGAATAGCAGTTACCAAGAGAACTTGATTTCTGAACTTAACCCATTGCAGGTAAGTGAATTCTGAACTAAGTTTAGAGACAGAGACTAAGAAGTCAGTTACAGGACAAAATCAATTAGTTTTAAAAAG